AGGTTAGGAAAAATTTTACAAACCTGCGTAAACTTTGATAATGAAAGAGTCTTTGACAAAGTCAGGGTATTTCAAAACTCTTCAATGTAAGACAGATAAATCAAACTAAAAATTTTAAATGATGTGTCCTTTAAACTATAATGCATGATGCATGTGTAATTTAACATTACTGCCATCATAGGAATTGTATTTATATTGGCTAATGTGATCTTTTTACTTTTAGTTTTTATTTCTGTGGTGATGGGCATTGAACCCAGGTCCATGAATGTGCTAGGTAAGCACTGTAACACTGAGATATGGCTGCTGCACTAAACAATGTAAACATTTTGAGGAAAGAACTGACTAGTTTATACCAAAACCAAATGGCTCATTTTATTCACCAGAAGGCTAAAAACTAATGTTTATAATAATGTTTATAACGGTGACTTTTTGGCTGTTCAAATTACTATTCTCTCTCTTATGACTCATTCTGTTGATCCTGGGAATATTCCAGAATAGATACAGCCTTGGGATGATAATTAATTATTTTCTACAGCCTCTCATATAGAGAGTGACTTATAAGAATTTGCTGAAGGAATGACATGGCAGCAAGTCTCCCTAGTGGCAAATGAGTAAAACAAGTTCTCAAATTCAGTACTTAAATTGTTTACTATTTTTAGTTTCAGAGCTTCTTCTCTAATATCAGAAGTCATCTTGTTGAAGAAGAACCACACTGTAAAGAAAGGTAAATAAACAACCAGGATGTAACACATAAATCTAAATCTCTACTCGTGTCATCTTTCTGTCTCTGTCTTTGTCTCTTGTCTCTCTCTCTCTTTCTCTCTCTTCCCCTCACCGTGCTTCATCCACAGTGAATGATACTGCTAATTTAAACTTCCCAAAGATAGTTTCAATGACTTGGTGTCTCTATTGATTTTCTCTTTTATTTACTGTTAGTCATTTTTATGGGTGCATGCTGGTATTTCACAAAGATTTACCCATTATTTGCTTGAATGAATAATGGTGTTGACAATATTTTCACAGTTTATTGGAAATCCAATAACCTACTTTCATGAAATTCAAATTTCTCCCTAAATATGTACACTTCTACTTAAACTAATTTTGAACATTTGTACATATACAGAATATGATTTTTTTCTCAAACATATGTATTGTTTTCTACAATGTAAGTTGATTTTTCATCTCTTTATACTATTTTTTTGTTTGTTTGTTTGTTTGTTTGTTTTTGTTTTTCTCCAGTACCGGGAACCGAACTCACGACCTTGCGCTTGCCAGGCAGGCGCTTTTGCTGCTGAGCTAAATCCCCAGCCCCCTCTTTATACTATTATTAATGGAATAAATTTCATGAGTCTGATATTTTTAGTCTATCATATTGTTCTTTTAAGACTTCTGGAGTTTGTGTTCTTACAGTTATATTTGGTATACCAATGTTTATAGTGTACATTTTCAGGGGGCTGTTTTAAGACAAGTTTTTGCTGTTTAGTTCAGGCTAGTCTTGAACATACAATGTATGCAGCCATCTTCCTGCCTCAGTCTCCCTACTGCTGGGATTGCAGGTATATGCCAACACCAGGCACAAAATTTTAAAATAATTTATTAGTTCACTTTTCACACTGGAATGAATTAAATTGTGTATGAAAAATAATTTTAAATAAAGTAAAACTTACATGAAACATGCTCAGATAAGTGTATAATTAGATATATTTGGGCAATATCATAAAAATATCTCTTAAGATATAGAAAATTTTCATCTCTAGGAAGCTCATCGATCTGTTCCTTCAATCTCTGCCCTTCAGAGGCAGTGTCCTGATTTATAGCAGCATGAATTAATATTTCCCTGTTTGTGAATAGCTTCTTTTCAGGTTTATAATTTGCAAATATTTTTTCTAATTCTTTAGATCACTTCTTCACACTAATTTTTCCCTGTGCTAAGCAGAAGCGCTTAGCTTATGAAACAATATTTGACCATTTTTGCTCTTATTGTCTATGCTTTTGTTGTCTTATCAAAAAAAGTTTATAAATTCTAATGTCCTGAAGTATTTCTTCTGTTTTCTACCAGTAGTGTTATTGTTTTAGGTTACAATGTCTTGAAGCATGTTAATATGATTTTTCTTAACTAGTGAGAGATAGGGAACTTGTTTTATTCTTTTGCACGTTTGTACCTGGTTTTCCCAACAGTATTTATTGAAACTTCACTTTCTGCAAAGCATGTTCTTAGCACCTTTGTTGAAAACCACTTGATTGTAGGATTGTAGGCTCACTTGTAGTTCCTCTATGAAAAAATTGTTCTATGTGTCTGTTTTGATGCCAGCTCCATGGTGTTTTCAGCCTTGTACTGCATTGTGAAATGAGCTTCTACTTTGTTCTTTTTATTTAATTTTATTTTTAGAGGTGGAATGTGTTCTACTTTGTTCTTTTTATTTAATTTTATTTTTAGAGGTGGAATGCCTTCTACTTTGTTCTTTTTATTTAATTTTATTTTTGGAGGTAAAAGAACCAAAACATATTAACAAATGTGTAGACATAAATCAAACAACATAAAAACAATACAGAATTTCAGACATGGTGATAAGAAATTAACAGTGGTTTTTGTATTGCATACTGTTAACTATTTATGGTTTTATACATATTTTAAGGTATTTTTCCTTGTTAAATGAAGAATATTATTGATATTTTTCTGGGAAATACATTTAATATGTACATTTCTTTTTTTGTGGATTTCTTTAGTGCGGAGATTGTAACAATATTAATCCTTCCAATCCATGAACATGGGTTGTCTTTCTTTTCTTTTCTTTTCTTTTTTCTTGTTTTTCTTTTCTTTTCTTTTTTTTCTTTTCTTTTCTTTGGCATTCTCTTTAATTGCTTTTATCAATGTTTTATAATTTTCCTTAAAGAGGTGTTTCACCTCTTTGGTTAAGCTTTTTCATAGATTATTTATCATTTTTGCAGCTATTGTAATTGGAAGCACTTTCTTAGTTTCTATGTTAGACAACTTTTATTAGCTTATAAAAATGTAGTTGATTTTTTATGTGATTTTTAAATATTGTGACACGTTGCTAAATACATGTATTTGCTGTAATACTTTATGTTTTTGTTTTTTTTTCTGGTACTAGGAATCGAACTCATGACCTCATTCTTGCCAGGCAGGTGCTCTGCCACTGAGCTAAATCCCCAGCCCCCACTTTATGTTGAAGTGTGTGAGACTTTCTATATATAAAAACATGTCATCTGCAGAGTGAAATATTTCACTTTGCCTTTTCCAATTTGGATCCTCTTTATTTCTTTCCTTTGTTTGGTTGCACTGGCTAGGATTTCCTACCCTGTGTTGAATATAAATTGTGAAAGTGAGCATTCTTTTCTTGTCTTAAATTTTAGAGAGATTTTATATTTTCTCATGCAGTCAAATGTTAGCTGTTAGCTTATCATAAATTCCCTGATTATACTGATGCACATTCTTTTTATACCTCATTTTGTCAGCATTTTTTTTTTATTATTTTAAAGAGTAAAAGGATAACATAGTAATGGGGGGGGCTTACCAAATTACAAAGTGGTAGGAAATTATCAATGGTTGTTGTTTTACATATTGTTATCTACAAGATAAGTTTCTGTTGAAAACAAATAGACAAATAATAATGAATAACAGACAAAAGTGGTAGACTGTCAATAGTTGTTGTGCTACACTTTGGTATCTTCAAAGTGGCTTCTAAAGAAAATAAATAGAGCTATCAATGAGTGACCAATTGAATAGTCATTGACTATTCTCAATGGTTGTTGCAGGAAGCACATAGTAATAAACATACATCCATTTACAAAACATAGGAACAACAAAAACATTACAGAGTTATGGACAGATTAGTAGGAAAATATCATTGGCTGCTGTAGTACATGGTGATGTCTTCAAAGTGGTTTCTCAGGAAGACAGAGATAGGCAAGAATGATCTAACAAGTAGTTACAGCCTAAGGGTTGTAAAAAATAGTGTGTTACCTGCTCACCAGTGACTCCTTTCAATGAGGTGTGATGGCTGGAAGGAAGGCCAGGATTGAAAAGAAGGACTGAGAGACTTGCACCTGTGTCTAGCAACAGGCT